TCTCTTAGAAACCTTGGAAGCCAGAAGCAGTGGGTTGACACATTCAAAGTGATAAAGGAAAGAAAAACCTGTCAGCCAAGAATCCTATATCTGACAAAACTGTCCTTCAACTATTAAGTAGAGATTAAGACATTCCCAGATAAGTGAAAGCCGAGAGAGTTTTTTATCACTAGACCTCCCCTACAAGAAATGCTAAAAGGAGTCCTTCAGGTTGCAATGAAGAGAGACTAGAGAGTTATGTGAAGCCATGTGAAGAAAAAAAGACTCCTGGAAAAGGTAAATACACGTGTAATGATAAAAGCTAGTACTATTATAACTTTGTTTTATAACTTTCTTTTTGTTTTATATATAATTTAAGAGATTAGTCCATTAGAAAATAATTATTAGTCTATGTTTTTTGACACACATGTATAAAGATGTAATTTTGTGACATCAATAATCAAAGAGAGGGGACAGAGCTGTATAAGAGCAAAGTATTTGAATGCTATTCGAATTAAGCTGGTAGATATTCAAATTAGAGTGTTGTAATTATAGGATGTTGAATATAATCCCCAATGGTAACTACAAGGAAAAATAGCTATAGAATATACACAAATAAAAATGAGAAGGAAAATGAAAAGTTTCATGACAAAACATCAACTACACATAAAAGACAGTCATGCAGGAAATGAGGGAGAAAAAACTCTAAGGCAAATAGAGGACAAATAGCAAAATGATAGAAGTAAGTCTCTCATCAATAATTTATTTAAATGTCAATGAATTAAACTCTCTAATCAAAGGCAGAGATAAGCAGAATGCCTTAAAAATCCATGATTGAACTACATGATATCTACAAGAGTCAGACTTTAGATCAAAGGCCTAGATAGGCTGAAAGTGAAAGGATGGAAAAAGATATTCCAAACAAACAGTAACCAAAAGAGAGCAGGGCTATACTAATATCAGACAAAATAGACTTTAAGTCAAAAAATGTTATAAGACAGAAATAAGAACATTATCTATTACAGAGTGTTCAATAAAGCAAGAAGATATAAAAATTATAAACATTTACACACCTAATAACTGATCAAAACCTGACAGAATTGAAGAGAGAACTAGTTCTACAATAATAGTTGGAGACTTAAACACCATGCCACCATGCTTTCAATAATGGACAGGACAACCAGACAGAAGAAAAGTAAGGAAACAGAGGACCTGAACAACATAATAAATGAACTAGATTCAGCAGACATATTAGAACATTCAACCCAACAACAATAGTGTACACATTATTCTCAAGTGCACATGGCACAATCTCCAAGATATGTGGGGACACAAAGCACCAGGAATTTAAAAAATAGATATCATATCAACTATCTACTTCAACCACAATGGGATGAAGTTAGAAATCAATAACAGAAGGAAACTGGAAAGTCCACAGATTTGTGCAAATTAAACAAAACATTGTAAATAATGAGTCAAATAAGAAATCACAGGGGAAATTAGAAAATACTTAGAGGTGAGCGAAAATGAAAACACAGAATGCCGACACTAATGGAACACAGCAAAAGCACTGCTAAGGGGGAAATTTACAGCTAGAAATGCCCACATTAAAAATAAAAGGATCTCAAATAAACATCCTAACTTAATAAATTAAGGAACTAGGGAAAGAGTTAAACCCAAATCTAGCAGAAGAAAGGAAATAATAAAGATTATGGCAGGGATAAATAAAAAAGGGAATAGAAAAACAGCAGAGAGTATCAATGAAAAGGTTCAGGAAATTTCTTTGAAATGTTTAACAAAATTGACACACCTTTAGCTAGACTGACTAAGAAAAAAGGGAGAAGATGCAAATTACTAAAATCAGAAATGAAAGATGGGACAGGACTACTGATTCTACAGAAGTAAAGATATCACAGCAGAATACTACAAACAACCATATGTCAACAAATTGGATAATCTGAATAAAATAAATATGTTCCTAAAAACACAAAACCTAACAGGACTGAAACATGTAGAAATAGAATTCCACATGTTATTTATTTTAAATTTAATTGCTTTCTAAATTCTTGAAGGCTTGGTTTGTATTTATTTATTCTTAATACTATAGACATGTAGAAAATTTATTTTCTATATTCCACTATCACAGAAGCTAATAAATTATGATTTTTATTTTTTATTCAGATTAAAAAATATTCTTTACATCGTGGATTACCAAAGTTTACCCAGACAATATTTTGAAAACCTTTAAAAAAATTAGTATATGGTAGGACATACTTTAATACTACTGTTGATATTTATTTAGTGTGTTGTTTTGTATTCTGTGGCTATTTTATACAGAATTTTTAATTTACTTTGAGAGTTCATAATGTCAGCAGTATAGCTGGAAGGATGGAATGCAGTGCAGAGTCAGACTAGAGACCAAATTCTCAACTGAATATTGGACACAACATGTTTTGATGTCCTGCACAGTGTTCTCTAAAATATTAGAACTTATCAACATGCTACAGTCAAGAGAGAGCACATGTAAATCCAGAAGATGTGGCCACATAGGTGCTGAATTTCAGCGAGGCAACCACTGGCTGCATCACGCCCTTCAGCCCACTCTCTGGTTTCCCAAGTCCCCACTGCTTGCTACTGCCTTTCTCACACCCACTGCACCTACGGGTGTGACCCCTGGGCCTGGGGGCTGAGTCTGACAGCCTACTCGGCCAGCCCTCCTCATCCTCCTGCAGAATTGTCCTCTTCCTCCTGAAGGGGCCACCTGTGCTCTGGGCCGTCCCTATGTCTGCAGTTCCTTGTCCTACCGGGCACTGCCTCTTTCTCCTGCCTTCAACCCCTCTCCCTCTTAGTCCCTCTCAGTGTTCGAACACTTAAAATCTCTTCCATATTTTAAAACCTGTCCTTGTATTTTCCAGCCTTAAAAAAAAAAAAAAAGAATGAATGGATGAATGCTAATGTAATAATATCTGTTCTACATATTTTAAATATTATGACTATTTAATGTGAGTTTAAGAAAGTCATTTTCTCAGTGGAATCTGGTCATGTTTCTTTTCCAAGCTCAAGATGTGTAAAACTCAGAATGACAACTTCTTTATATTGTGAAAAATATAACTATTGAGGGCCCACACTTTTGTGTGTGCATGGCCACCATCTCCTCCCTGTGGGCAAACCGAGCTAGGAATCCACCTGACCCTGAGCTGCATGCTGAGTGTGGACCTCAACCTGGAGCCCTGAGGACCAGCAAGGTCAGAATGGCTGGAAGCATCTGTCATGGGGACTGAGCTCTGCTGGTCTCTGGTGACACAGTCTCCCGGCTCCCCAACTTAGCAGAGATGTGCAGACTCTGACTCTGTGATTTAACAGGGATTAGATAGAATATATCTGCTTTCCTCAAACCCCGACTCCATACTCTATCTTGGTGGTCAGAAACCTTCATTGAATACTGGGTTCATACCTTTCTATCCTTGTAAAGTGTTAGCTAATTTTAAACTTATTTTTCTGTAGTGTACCAACCTTGCATTTTAACTTGTAAAATCCATTTGCTTTTAAAAGTCCTTCTCATCTCTTTTCATATATCCATTACCTTGTAATATACTTTAAACAAGGGAAAAGTGAACCCAGACCAACCTTGTCCTATTCTCCTCATTCTGAAATAACGTTCAAGCTTCAAAGAGGAAAGTTGGCAGGTAGGACATTGTTCTTGAGGAGGTTGTATCACAGAGCGTCATCAAAGGCCACCTGAGCCACCCTCTCCTACACAAAACCACACGTGGGTCAGGAGCCAAGGATCAGGGCAGGAATCCGTGGACCTGGGCAGCCAAGGTGTGCTGGGCCCACTCTGCCTGTGGTCCTGTGCCAGTCCTCCAGGCTCCTTGCTGGTCCCCCCTTCTGGCCCCCCTTGCAGCAGGAGAGGCTCCTAGCTGCTCAAAGGACAGCCCTCTCCCCCCCCCCAACTCAGATCCCTCTGTGACCACCACAATCCAGGTCACTGACCCAGTCAACCCAGTCAACGTGAGGGTCATCCAGCTGGCTGTCGGGACATCTCTGGACTGCACCTGGATATCTTCTTTGCTGGGCCTGGTTCTGAATTTAGAGTCACTATTTAGGCCATAAAGCTACTCGATTAATTAACAGTTGGTCATTATCACTCTTAGGCATACGACTGAAGGGACGAGTCCTCCATAGTCCCTGAGAGGAAAGCACTGACCACATTTACTTTTTCTGTACCTTGTCGTGGGTGTTTCTTGTATACCATTGATAGTCTGTTCTAGAAGATATGCTGCTGTCAGGGATTATAAAGAGTCGGGGGAGCGTTAGGATTGCTTGGAGTCCTCATCTTCCTGTGCTAGTGGCTCGTTTAAAGTTTCGATATGAGGGACACCACTCTTTGGACTTAACTTGGCAGTCAGAGCCTCCCAGAGCCCGGGGGAACTCGGCAGCCCAGGAGCAAGCCTGAGCGATTCCTGGGAGGGCAGGGGAGGTGGAAGATTCGTGCTCTTGTGATTCAGGCTTGTTCCCCGAGCGCACTGCCAACTCCCCCGATTTACCTGAGATCTGACTGGGGACGGGAATCAGGCTGCCCTCAGCGCCCTGGCGTCCAGAGCTCGGCTCCCGAGTCCCCGCGCCTGGAGGGGGACACGAACTATTTCCACTGCTCTGGGTGCAGATACCGCGCTGAGGACCCCGGGTACCCCGGGTCGCAGGAGGCCTCGGAGATTGGGTAGTAGTTGGGGGCGGGGCGGAGAGACGCGGTGGGGCGTGGCCTCACTCAGGCCACACCCAGGCTTGATCCAGGCACCCGGATGAACTTCCACAGCGGTTCGGAGACGGTACCCCGGTCCACGAACCCTGACCATGGCAATGATCCGGGGCTACTGGGATATCCGCGGGATGAGCGCGGGTCCACCAGGGCGGGCAGGGAAATGCTGCGCAGCTGGGGACCGGTTCGCCAGAAACTTCGTTTGTGGGGCTCGCTGCAGCCCAGCCCCTTCCCTCCGCCTCTCCTTCCCAGGTCGGGGAGAGGGTTGGGAGCGTGGGAGGGGACCCGGAGCACAGAAAGTCGCGCGGTTAAACCTCATGTCTGTCCTTTGTCCCGGCTATCTCTCCCAGCTGGCTCACGCCATCCGCCTGCTCCTGGAGTACACAGACTCAAACTAGGAGGAGAAGAAGTACCCGCTGGGGGACGGTAATGGCATCCTTGTCATGTCCTGGCTTCTGCTCAATTCATGCTGATTTGGTACCAAGCAACCCATGTCCTGGCCCCTGTTATTTCTGTCTGCTGCCCTCCAGCAGCTGGAGAGAGGTCTAACCCTTCCCGAACTCTTTGAGTGTTTAGCTGGCCTCCAAGGCCGGCCATGAGAGCCGATGGCCGGGCCCCTGTATCAGCCATTGGCACGGGTTCCCTTTATTGCTTGCACTAACCCTTTGTAAACCTTACTCATGTGGGTTCCAGAGCCGTCTAATTGTGCTTTCCCCCAAAACTCAATGCTAGATTTAGAGGTTCAGATTCCAGATCCACCTGTTCAGGGGCTCTTGTCTCTGACTCCTTGGTAGGTCCCCCGGGAAGGAGGGTTGGACTCCGGGGTGGTTTGTTTCACTGCATCTTCTTTACCACAGCTCCCAACTATGACAGAAGCCAGTAGCTGAATGAAAAATCCAAGCTGGGCCTGGACTTCCCCAATGTAGGTGCAGGGGCTGGGGTGCTCTGGGGGAAAGTGGACGGTGTCCCTGTCCATCTGCCTACCCAGCTTAGAGGTTTCAGGGTCCAGTGCCTTCTGCTCAGCCTCTCAGCTTCCTGGTTCTCTTCACTGCCTTTCCATAATGCTGTATGTCCCAGCTCATCCCTTCATTTTACAGTATATTATTTAGTGTCCACCATGGGCCAGGCTCTGTGAGTGCCAGGTTTCATCTCTGCCCTTGCTCAAGGGAGTGGGTGCAGGGGAGCCTGGTGGCCCAACCGACCTGGCCTGTTGTTCCTCCAGCTGCCCTACTTAATTGATGGGGCTCACAAGCTCACCCAGAGCAACACCATCCTTTGCTACATTGCTCGCAAGCACAACATGTGTGAGTGGAGCTGTGGGTGGGGGAGGGGCACAGGTGGCCATGCCCTGGGCTTGTCTGGGGCGGGATCCCGAGGGTGAGTCCCTGTTGTGTGGCCACAGGTGGGGAGACAGAGGAAGAGAAGATTCGCGTGGACGTATTGGAGAACCAGGTTATGGATGTCCGCTTGTGCATGGCCATGATCTGCTACAGCTCTGACTTTGTGAGTCCCCTCCCACCGGGCTGGACAGGGTTTGAAATGCTGGTCAGGGTCGCGTCTACACTGGTCTTTTGCCTTTGAACTCCTTGGAGCTACTGATCCACCAAGACATTCCCTTGGAAACTCTGACTTAGTTCCCACCAATCTTAGGATAGAGTCCAGACATCCTTTGGTGGAAATTCAGTTCCTAGACAGGATGCTAGTTCCCACCAATCTTAGGATAGAGTCCAGACATCCTTTGGTGGAAATTCAGTTCCTAGACAGGATGTTTTCCTCGTTAGCCCAGCACCTCCTCCTCGGCATCTCAGGCATAAACACATGTGCCCAGCAGGCAGCCTGGGGTCAGACTTTGTTCCTCTCCCTCCTTCCTTTCAGCTTCTCAGATTCTCCTCATCTGTTCAGAGACTGCATCGGCATTCACACCCTTTCTGTCACCCACGCTGGACCTTAGGACTTCTTTCCTGAGTCATTTGAGTGTTGATCTTCCTGAGGTCTGAGGCCCGCACTCTGCCAGGTCTCACAGCACTGGTGGTCTGACCCACGGCAGGTGTTTGGAGCTGAGTGGTGACAGGTTCACGCACAGTGTGGTTTTGCCCTTTGCCTTCCCATCTCCTCTCACAGATGGGAGGTGGTACCTGGTAGGAGTCTAATGAACACAAGTGGGTTAAATCGCAGCCTGGGCACTGACCCAGGTGTACTTGGCAGCTGGGATCAGGCACAGCCCTGGGAGGCCTAGTCTCTGCCCAGGGAGTCTGTATCTGAGGGCAGTGACAGCTCTTTTGTGCCTCAGGAGAAACTAAAGCCTGATTACTTGAAGGAGATCCCTAAAACGATGAAGCTCTTCTCAGATTTTCTGGGGAAGAGGCCCTGGTTTGCAGGGGACAAGGTAAGGGGGGACGGCTTCGGGGGATGGAGAGCTGTCATTTTTCCCGCGTTCAGAGTTTGGTGCCCATTCACGCTTTGCCTTTCTGCAGCTCACCTATGTGCATTTCCTGGCGTACGACATCCTTGACATGCACCGCACATTTGAGCCCAGGTGTCTGGATGAATTCCCAAACTTGAAAGACTTCACTTCCCGTTTTGAGGTGATTCTCCTGACCCCTCTAGTATTTATATCTCTCTTCTCTTCCTTCTCTTCACTGATGCTTTCCTAGTTGGAACCCAAATGAAGAATAACATTTAATGAGGACTTGGTTTATGCCAGAATCTCTGCTCAGCATCTAACATATATTGTGTCAAATTTAATCTTTATAACATTCCTCCGTGGTAAAAGAATTATCCTCTTCATTTTACAGATAAGGAGTTAAGCTGAAAGGATAATTTCTGAAGGTCACAGGGCCAGTACAGGCTGTGCTGGGCTCCCAGTCAGAGCATCTGGCTTCTATGGGCAGCAGTCAGTGGCTCTCCCTTTCCTGTATGGAAAAGAAAGCTCAGGTCCTTTTCCTGTCTGGTTCACAGCTCTGGAAAGTGTGGAGGAAGCAGAACCTTCAGGAGTTTGCTTGCAGCTGGCATTAGTAGAGTTGAGACACCGTAGGACTGATACCAAGTACTAAAAACACAGACAATATCTTCTCTAGATCTCCAGAGGGGTCTGCACAAGTGAGTCGCCGCCAGTTGTATTGAGATTCTCAGGACTGTAGTTGGTGCTGGGATTTGAGTACATACATAGGTGTCCTTTGGAAGGATTTTAGCTCGACACGTCTTATAGTGGGCACTTGCCTTCCCTCGTCTTCCTTCCTTCTTCCTTCCAGTTACCCAAGATTCCGATCTCAGAGGCGGGATGGTACATTTATTTTTAGTAACGTTCACTGGTCTGACCCTCTCCTCTGTATGAGGCACTGTGTCAGGCACAGTGGGGATGAAGAAGTAACAGAGTCCTGGTGCCCACTTTCTGGGGCTCAGTGTAGCTGGAGAACTACAGGAACCCCGAGCTGTGTGGTGTGCGTGGAACCACTTGGTGCTGGAGGAGCACAGCCTGACCTCACCCCCCAGCTCACCATCGGTCACCCTCAGTCAACCGGTGGGAGAGCAACAAAGTCCGCTTATGTCAGATTCGGGAATGTGAAGCTCTAATCCAATAGGTTTTAAAGTACGGCCTGTTCTCCATTCCCACCCCCACTCCCCACCCGGCCCCATCATCAAATCTGCTTTCTTAGCTAGTTCTCATCAGCTCTGGTTCTGCTCCAGGCTTATTGGCCTTGAGAATTTTGCAAGAGCTGGGATGACTTCCCGGCAGGGAGGATGGGAACAGATGTGGGCTGCAGTGTGTGGCCTGTTGGGGCCTGGGCTGTTGGGTACAGGCATCCCCAGGATCTTTGAATCCTTGGAACTTATTGGGCACTGTCTGTCTTGGGAAGACTGTGCACAGATACACCTGAGTGTCTCACTGCCTAGTTGGCTGCAGCAGTACTGGGGATGTGGTAGGTTGGGGCCCAGTGAGACTGGGCTCAAGTCCCAGGCCAGGCAGGTGGACTCTGTCCTTTACGTGGAATAATTAGAGTCTGGCTTGGCCTGGCCTGTGCTCCACACCCTCATACTGATCTCGGGTGGCCTCGGCCTGCAGCGGCTTGAAGCAGGATTTTGGTTCCCAGCCAGAGACTGAGGTCAGGTCGCAGCGGTGAGAGCACCAAATCCTAGCCACTAGAACAGTGGTCAGTGACAAGGCCCTGGCCTTTGGCTTTGCAGAAAAGAATTCCCACGAAGATGGAAAGTAGTGAAACAGGTAAAGTGTTTATTAGGAGAAAAATAAGAGTACTGTACGTGTGGATAGACACCCGGGTGGGCTCAGAGAGAGAGTCGCGGCCTTGTGGTAGTTTGAATCACTTTTATGGCACATTTCTTCCAGGTTTCCTTTGACCAGCCATCTTGCTTTGCCTGGTTCTGAGTCTGCATTTGATGTATCTTAGGGTCCTCCCCTATGTGCTTGCACATCTCTTAGCCAAGATGGATTCTAGCAAAGAGGCCTATGGGTAGTTGACATCACTTACTATGAGTTGGCACCCCCTCGCTTTTTGACCTCCAAGGAGCCTTTCTGCGCATTTGTAGTCAGGGAGGTCTCCTTGACTTCGAGAATGAGGAATATGTGGTCTTTTATCTCTTATCTGGGCAGGGCCCAGCCTCCCCCATCATGCTGCTTTTATGGAGTTTCTGCTATTATGGCGTTTTTGTCCACAGGGGACAAACTTCAGCTGTTTGGCCTGGGGCCCATCTATCTCCTGCCTCAAATCCCCCCCTGAGAGACATGAACCCCAAGAAATCTTTATTGGGAGGACGAAATGCAAAGGTCTGTCTTCTGTAGCTTCTTCAGGCTGTCAAGGGGCTCACAGACCCTACCTAGTTGGGGTCACGGAGCTCTCACCCTGACTCATTAAGCGACCCGGGGTGACATCTGCTGTTATTCCATCAGGATCTGTTCCAAGGAGTGTCTGGAATCTCTGCATCACCGTCATCTTGTCAGGGAAACCGTTGTGTCCTTAGAAAGAACAAGCTAGGCTTCTTAATCTTAAGTAGATTTTTATTTATTTATCTTTGGCTGTGTTGGGTCTTTGTTGCTGCTCATGGGCTTTCTCTAGTTGCGGTGAGCAGGGGCTACTCTTCGTTGCAGTGTGCAGGCTTCTCATTGCAGTGGCTTCTCTTGTTGTGGAGCACGGGCTCTAGGCACACGGGTTTCAGTAGTTGTTGCACGCAGGCTCAGTAGTTGTGGCGCATGAGGTTAGTTGCTTCATGGCATGTGGGATCTTCCTGGACCAGGAATTGAACCTGTGTCCCCTACATTGGCAGGTGGATTCTTTTTTTTTTAAACATCTTTATTGGAGTATAATTGCTTTACAATGGTTGTTAGTTTCTGTTTTATAACAAAGTGAATCAGTTATATATATATATATATATATATACACATACATATATGTCCCCATATCTCCTCCCTCTTGCGTCTCCCTCCCTCCCACCCTCCCTATCCCACCCCTCTAGGTGGTCACCAAGCACCAAGCTGATCTCCCTGTGCTATGCGGCTGCTTCCCACTAGCTATCTGTTTTACGTTTGGTAGTGTATATATGTCCATGCCACTCTCTCACTTCGTCCCAGCTTACCCTTCTCCCTCCCCATATCCTCAAGTCCATTCTCTAGTAGGTCTGAATCTTTACTCCCATCTTGCCCCTAGGTTCTTCATGACCTTTTTTTTTTTTTTTTTATATTCCCAATATATGTGTTAGCATACAGTATTTGTTTTTCTCTTTCTGACTTACCTCACTCTGTACGACAGACTCTAGGTCCATCCACCTCACTACAGATAACTCAGTTTCGTTCCTTTTTATGACTGAGTATTATTCCATTGCATATATGTCCCACATCTTCTTTATCCATTCATCTGTTGATGGACACTTAGGTTGCTTCCATGGTATCAATTTACATTCCCACCAACAGTGCAAGAGGGTTCCCTTTTCTCCACACCCTCTCCAGCATTTATTGTTTGTAGATTTTTTGATGACGGCCATTGTGACTGGTGTGAGATGATACCTCATTGTAGTTTTGATTTGCGTTTCTCTAACGATTAATGATGTTGAGCATTCTTTCATGTGTTTGTTGGCAATCTGCATATCTTCTTTGGAGAAATGTATATTTAGGTCTGCCCATTTTTGGATTGGGTTCTTTGTTTTTTTGATATTGAGCTGCATGAGCTGCTTGTAAATTTTGGAGATTAATCCTTTGTCAGTTGCTTCATTTGCAAATATTTTCTCCCATTCTGAGGGCTGTCTTTTCGTCTTGTTTATGGTTTCCTTTCCTGTGCAAAAGCTTTTAAGTTTCATTAGGTCCCATTTATTTCTTTTTGTTTTTATTTCCATTTCTCTAGGAGGTGGGTCAAAAAGGATCTTGCTGTGATTTATGTCATAGAGTGTTCTGCCTATGTTTTCCTCTAAGAGTTTGATGGTGTCTGGCCTTACATTTAGGTCTTTAATCTATTTTGAGTTTATTTTTGTGTATGGTGTTAGGGAGTGTTCTAATTTCATTCTTTTACATGTAGCTGTCCAGTTTTCCTAGCACCACTTATTGAAGAGGCTGTCTTTTCTCCACTGTATAGTCTTGCCTCCTTTATCAAAGATAAGGTGACCATATGTGCGTGGGTTTATCTCTGGGCTTTCTATCCTGTTCCATTGATCTATACTTCTGTTTCTGTGCCAGTACCATACTGTCTTGATTACTGTAGCTTTGTAGAAGTCAGGGAGCCTGATTCCTCCAGCTCTGTTTTTCTTTCTCAAGATTGCTTTGGCTATTCGGGGTCTTTTGTGTTTCCATACAAATTGTGCAATTTTTTGTTCTAGTTCTGTGAAAAATGCCAGTGGTAGTTTGATAGGGATTGCATTGAATCTGTAGATTGCTTTGGGTAGTAGAGTCATTTTCACAATGTTGATTCTTCCAGTCCAAGAACATGGTATATCTCTCCATCTATTTATGTCATCTTTAATTTCTTTCATCAGCATCTTATAATTTTCTGCATACAGGCCTTTTGTCTCCTTAGGTAGGTTTATTCCTAGATATTTTATTCTTTTTGCTGCAATGGTAAATGGGAGTGTTTTCTTAATTTCACTTTCAGATTTTTCATCATTAGTGTATAGGAATGCAAGAGATTTCTGTGCATTAATTTTGTATCCTGCTACTTTACCAAATTCATTGATTAGCTCTAGTAGTTTTCTGGTGGCATCTTTAGGATTCTCTATGTATAGTATCATGTCATCTGCAAACAGTGACAGCTTTACTTCTTCTTTTCTGGTTTGGATTCCTTTTATTTCTTTTTCTTCTCTGATTGCTGTGGCTGAAAGTTCCAAAACTATGTTGAATAACAGTGGTAAGAGTGGGCAACCTTTTCTTGTTCCTGATCTTGGTGGAAATGGTTTCAGTTTTTCCCCATTGAGGACGTGTTGGCAGGTGGATTCTTAACCACTGTGCCACCAGGGAAGTCCCCCAATTCAAGTTTTGCACCAGCTTACTTTTAAAATTCATTTACTCAGTTAAATTTATTTTAAGCTTAGTCAATCCTGACCATTCTCAAAACTCTTTTCTTGGGGTCCACTTTCCACAAAGCTTTTT